CTGTTTAGAGGATCCCCAGCCCAACTCTCTAATCCTTTGGCCACACCGGTTTTCATACCATTATTAACCGGATGCAGTTTAAACCACTCTGCATCTATCAGATGCTCTCAACGTATTCAGGGATGGTCAACATTATGGTGGGATGCCAGAAGGCAGTGGATTTGGTCTGTTTTCTTTTGCAAGTCCCGTTCTGCTCCAAGATTTCCCTTCTGCAGGTGTGTTGTGTTGTGTTGTGTTGTGATGGTCCCAGTCCCCACTCAGCTATGAAGCCCACTGCGGGACTTTGGGCCCATGCCTGTTTCTCAGTGTAGCCTACCTTGCAGGGTTGTTGAGGATAAAATGGAGAGGATTATATAAGCTGTTTTGGGTTCCTTGCAGGAAAAAAGGTAAGATAGAAATTGAATGACTGAAAAAAGTTGAATACCTTTATATGTTGATTTATTTATCTTTGTTTTCCCATTTTGGTTCAGTGCAAAATATGCAAAAGGCTAATTGGCTATTTTGCAAAAGAAAAAACAAAACAGGACCCCGATTTGCATGCACCAAGGGAAAACATTTCCAGGATTTTCTTGTTTGTTAGAATTATACTGATAATGTCAAGGAGTTATTAGATAAGGTATGAGATTTGTTAATGTCAACTAAGCAAGATTCATATGACCTTAACATAGGGATGTTAAAAGTGCCCAGGTGATGTACCTCAGCCATGGAAAACATTCAACCTATTTTAACTCCCAAACCTGGGAAATGATACTCAAAATTTAATTTTTAAAAAATTTTTTGGCATTGTTCCACCTTATTTCCTCTGGTTCCACACACCTCTGCAAAGTGGACTCCAAAAAGCTTCTCCCATACTGAATTTGTCTCCCCGACTGCAGGACGTTTTGTTATTCCTGACCTGGCGCCAGGCATGAGCCAATATTTCTGCCGAGAATGTGCTACTAACATACTCCATGAGTTTCTGGTCAGACCACACATCATTAGCTACGTTAAAATTATGTCTTGGCTTTGTAACTGAGATCTCTCATTTTTGCTTCTTGAGGCATTTCCCTTCCCTTGGGAAAACCCAAGCAATTACATTGATGTTGTATAAACTGTCAGCCCCGGTTCACGTGGGTATATTGACTGCCACTGGATCAAAAACCATGTGTTTGTTTTCCTATGACGTAAAAGCTACCATAACCCAAGTTCGTTCAAAGCCAAGTCAATCCATAAAAGCAGCATAAAGACCGTTTCCAACCTATTCTTCCCAATAGATAGCAGGCCAAGTCCTGCACCCACCTGTGGAAACATTTTGAATCAGCAAAGAAATACACTTGAGTGCTCCCACAAGGATCCCAGCACTAAATGCCATTGACAGAAATTTGTGTTTAGGCATAAAAAGTTGTACCCCTGCCACGCTGGCTTTAAGGACAGTCTTTAATAGACTGGCCCAATTCTTCAAGGGCACAAGCCAATACGTGTTCAGATGGGAAAAGCTTGGTGAATCCCAGCATGCTGGGAGTCAGGATTTTTTTCTGTCTAAACACGCATAGGATTGTTCCCTTGATATATTTTCAGGAGCTTATGGTCTGTGCCTGAGCAGACTTCCAAGTGGCAAGAAAGAATTAAAGGAAAAAAATATTAAAATTAAACTCACACCATGCTAATACAACTCTGGCTAGCCATTTAGGGAAGATTTTTTAAAAAATAAAAATGAAAATGTCTTCAGCAGTTGCCAGAAACAAAATCAGGTCAGTGCATTTTATTCATTTATTCATTCATTCATTTAAAACATTTGTATGCTGCCCAATCATGCCACAGCACCATCATCAAGATGCAGGGAGTTCCACAGGCAGAAGGCCCACGTCTAAATGAGCTGGAAGTCCATGTGAAACTATCAGGAGAACCTAATTTTATTACTTCAGGCTGTGGGCAGGCTAGTTAAGAAAGAAAACTCTCTCTCCAAATTCCAGTCCCATGTTGAACATGCACATGGTAGGTATTTCATAAAGGGAGCTGTCTGGAGCCAGGGGTCAGACTAGATGGCCTCGGAGACCTCTTTCTGACTTGCTCTGTTTCTATGTGTCTATGTTTAGGGTTACAGGGATTTCCTTTCCCCCAATACGGCCAGCACCTACAGTTAATTTGCTTCTTCACTGGTTAACCCCACCGAAGTTGTCTTGCCTCGCCTCGCCTCTTCTTTAAATGCTTCTGTTTCAGACCCTAAAGAACCCTGTGCAGCTCAGGACTCAGTATTCCCCAGAGTGACCCTTTTCCATTCTTCCCAATTCTCTTTAAATGCCTTTAAATCCCCTTAGTAGCCAATTTTAGCCATTAGATGGATACTAGAAGCAAAAATACATTACTAAACAAATTAAAGTGTAATTCTTAGATTATTAAAGGTATACTTCTACACAAGGGAATCCTGGTCACAAAATTGTTATATTACTATTATTTATGTATGTTTTTATGTATTCTTTGTGAGCCGCCTTGAGGCTTTGTTGAGATGGGGGCGGCATAGAAATGGTTTAAATAAATAAATAAATAAATGTTGGGGGTTTTCACCAGACTGCTAGGTAACATTTCTTCAGGATTCAGGAAACACTGTTGCCACTCTGAACGTCTTATCTCAAGCTTAAAGCTGCACCTTAGCTTAATACACTCACAACCAAGTCCAGCTTTAGGGTACAAAGCCTTCCTTTGGCTCCCAAAGCCGCTCCTGTTACATTTCTGGCTGCTTGGAGAGTTTACCTGGCTTTTACAGCCTGCTTGCGTAATTTTCTTCCGCCAGAACGACTTCTCATTCCCAGTCACCAATGGTCACCCCACAGAGGAAGATTCGTTCATTCTTCGGGCCTTAGCTAGTCATTGCCCCCTCATTCTTTGATAACAGCAGACAACAACCAGCAGACGACAACCTGAGCAACCCACAACTTTAAGACTATAAATAAACAAACCCCTTAAGAGTACAATTCTGCATACGTTCGTAGCATCAACTCCTGAGGGGAGGGGAAGGATTAAACTTAGAACTGACAAAATGCTCAAAAAAACAGGCGCCAGCTAGTGAGAATCTGGAGTCCAGGACTTCCGCGAGGCATGACCCTCCCTTTGGTGTTAAGATAGAGCAGAATTGGGCTCAGGGATGCTGGACAGAACAGCCATGACCGACACCCAGAGTAAATGGCTGGCCCCAGGGACTGGAGAGTGGACCTTGGCTTGGGGTGGGGGAATAAATGTGACTTTTGTTCCTCTCTTGGGAGGTTCCAACTACTGCTGATTCTCCGTGAAGAGTGCTGGTGGAAGGTAAAGTCACTGTGTACAGGTTAGGTTAGGAGCCGTTTGTTATTTTTCCGAGTGAGCCAACTGGACCCTGAAAGTGGGTGTCTTGGTCAACTGTAACTTCTCCTGTTGCTGCTATCCGATTCCCCTATTCCCTTCCCATCCCCCTTTCCCCTGCTTTTATCCTTTTGATTCAGTGTTTTACTCCTTCCAGCCCTATATTTCAATCCTTTAATAAATTTGTTTGTTCCCCAAGCTTGGGTTTGTGATATGCTGAATCCAGTAGCTGGTCCAGGGATTTTCTGGGCAGGATGTGGCCCAGGCGGCCAGGAGAGTGTGGAAATCCTGACGGCTTTCTGTTAACATCTTCAGAGAGGGAAAAACCCTCTGTGATTTCCCAGCATCCCCCAGTCACTTCAGTTCCCTGTGTGGGGAATGCTGGGAATTTATTTCTATCAAACTTGGGACTCTTTTTATTATTGGCTAGAGAATCGGGATTTCGTATAGATTTAAATATGTTTTCAAGTTATCATAAATAGAAAAAAATGTGGGGGCTGACCCAGCAGGTCCGATGTTTCTGATGATTGATGTTGTTTTTAGTTGTCTTTTGTTTTAGGGTTATTTTGAATAAAAATTATAAAAAAAGGAACGCTGGGAATTCTAGGACTTCAGTCCCATCAGAGTATGCATCCAATGGTATTTTCCCACCTGGCTAAAATCCTCAGCCAATCAGAATTGGATTTACCTGCCCCAAGCTCCGCCTCGCATTATTCAAAGTGACAGCCTCTTCTTTTCCTCTTTGGAACAGCACTAAGCGACAGGCCTTTGACAGTAGCAAAACAAGGCCTCCATCCTGCTCAAATACAGTATTGCGTTGGAGGGCAATAGAGTTTATACAGCAAGAACCGAAGCTGAATCCTGGTCCAGGAGCAACCAGTGCAGTTCCCCGGGCAGAGGCTCTCCGTGCCAAAATAGGGCACCTCCTGGCCACAGAGGCGTGGTGTCCTTCACTAGCTGCCAACCTTAAGGGCAGCCCCACACAGGAGTCCGTTGCAGCAGTCCAGCCACCCTTGAGGTTAACCTGGCCTTGTGGAAAAGCCAGCCCGTAGCTGGCAGACCAGTGGAAGCTGGTGGAAGGCACTCCACGAGGCCTCGAACGTTGGAGGGATCTGGGAATATCCCCAAACCGCGAACCCTGCCTTCAGAGCGAATGCAACCCCTCCCACAACACACAAGGAGCCTCAGTTGTGAACCCGGCAACCATTTGTCCGCAAGGCTTCCGACTTGCCAGGATCCAGCTTTTGTTTATGGGCCGTCATCCAGCCCACCACTGGGTCTAGGCACGGATCCAGGTCCTGCACAGGACCAGCTGTCTGAGATGTCCAAGGGAGAAATACCAGTACACAGGTTACTATGCCCAGGTGGGGTGCTGGCTGCCACAGTGTCTATGAAGAAAAGCAATTAGGCTTCCCGTGAAAATGCCTGAGCTTGTGAGGTGCAGGGCAAGCCACTGGTGCTTAAACTAGGGCAGGCTTAAATCCGGAATGTTGAGGGCAGGTTTCATGCCCAAATGGGGTCTTTCATTCCTCCTGAAATTTTTAAAAAGTTCTGCCAAGCTAAGCAATGAAAAAAGGGGGGAAGGCCCTTATAACCCCACAAAAACACAGTTAAACCCCTCTTACATTCATTAAAACACTATTAATAAAAAGGAAAGCAGCAGGGAGAAAGAGTCAACACTCGTATTTCGAATATATACATTCGTATGAGCAGTGCCGGCTATGCTGACTGCACCATTTCTGGGCTTGTCTTTCCAGTCTTGACATGCGAGTCCTTTTGCAACGGTAACTGCTTTCCAAGTCCACTCTCCTGTCCATCCATGACTCCTCACATCACAGGAATAGAATTTTAAAACACTCATATATCCACAATCGTTAGAGATTTTTCAAGAGCAAAATTTATACGAGCTGGAACTCCCAGCCAAATGAGGGATGCCTGTGAGATCGACCTTATTGCAGCATTTTTTTTTTTTTGCATTGTAGCACCGAGAGCCAACTTCTCCCTTGGTGGTCACTGCAGTGTCCAATAGACTTGAAACATCCATTTGTGTTGAATATATCCGAATTCCAAATCAGGTTTTCTTTCCTGCTTATATTAGCTACTGTTTACTGTTTGATGGCTGATCCAAACGCCTGCAGGTGAAGGGCTGGTTCACACAACCAGGGAGCTTACCATGGGTTAATTAACCCACAATTAGCACTCGCGTGCCTGGGTTCCATGCACCTTCTGAAGATGCTGCCTCCTATCAGAGGGAACCAGGGGTTGTGATGTGCAAACCCAGCCACCATAGATGAACTGAAGGTTAAACGACTCACGCTCCACCCACCTTCTAACATATGGATTATTTAAGGTTCAAATAACTCACGGTGGCTGGATTCACATGACACACAGCAACCCCCACTTGCAGGCTGAAAATTCAAGATGCTGGTGGCACATGCCCCGCACGCAGCATAGCTGGCCACGAGTTAAGTGGCCCGTGATAACATGCCGTGTTGCATGAACTGGCTCCAAAAGTTTAGCATTTTGGCTCTCGAGCAAGGAGGGCGCTTAGAAGCATGTAGGCACAAACCTCTTCCCAAAGCAACTCCTTGAAAGAGTTTAACATTCATAACTGCTCCCCAACACAATAAATTACTCCTGGTAAGGAATCTGAGGGGCTGCAGATTTCTGGGGCACAGATGGCACTCCTTTCGTAAGGAAGACAGTTAGTATAAATAACATCCATCCATGTGAAGTGGTAAAAGGAAACCGAGGAAGTGGGCAGGGGCTGTAACTTAATGGAGGAGTACTTGCATGTTCAGACAAAAGGTCCTGAGTTCCATCCTTGGCATCTCCAGGCAGGGCAAGAAAACTCCAGCCTGAAACCTTGGAAATACGCTTTGACTCCAAATACAGCGATGTTCCATATTTTAGCAGCAAACAGAGGATTATGGGGGAAGTTATGGAATAGCTGCGCTGCCCGTCATGTTCGGTTTTGCAGGGGTGCTTCAGGAGCATGGAAGTATTGCTTACTCTTTTCTCTTTGTGTTTGCATTCAGAGTTCCTTTTCCGTTGGGAGAAAGTATCACCTCCGTCGGCTGGAGTTCAGTTGCGGTTTCTTGAGAGAAGCGATTTTGTAGCTTCTCGGCAAGTATGATCCTGCAGAGTTCTCTGGGTCTTGAGCTGAATATTCTTCAGTAACAGCACATTAATTTTTGCTTGGCGTTTGACACAGGGAATAGCTATCCATGAGACATTCATCAAGTTTCTTGTCATGCATATTCTCCTCGTGGGGTTTTAAAATGTTAAAAAGTTTCATTCAAATGTGTTTGTTATCTCTTGTAAAAAGTTATAGTCATTTAGAGGGGCTTCAGCTTGATGGATCTAGCAGTTCTGTCAGGACAGACTAACTTTTGCCACCAAAAAAAAAAAAAATTTAAATCGCTTTCCCACATCCCAAGGGTCTGCCATAGCATATCTTGGTGGTTTATACTTACAGATATTCTCCCAGAATTTGACAGCTGTCCTGGTGCTTTTAAAATTATAACTCTGGTAGAGAGCTACGGTTCTAAGCTGCGATTTCCATCAGCTGACAATACCACCAAAGTGTGAACTTTCTGATGTGAAATAAGAGAATCTTTCTTCCTATAGCTCTTTCCACACTCCAAGCATTTAAATGGTTTCTCCCCCGTGTGACTTCTTTTGTGTGAAACAAGGTGTGAACGCCGACTGAAGCTTTTCCCACAATCCAAGCACTGAAATGGTTTCTCTCCCGTGTGGCTTCTTAGGTGTGACATAAGATTTGAGCTCCAATTGAAGCTCCTTCCACACTCCAAACATTTAAATGCCTTTTCTCCTGTGTGGTTTTTTTGATGTGACATGAGGTGGGAGCTCCGATTGAAGCCCTTTCCACATTCCAGGCATTTAAAGGGCTTCTCTCTTGTGTGACTTTTCTGGTGGGTCTTAAGTTGTGAGCTCCAGCTGAAAGTCCTTCCGCACTCCAAGCATTTAAAGGGTTTCTCCCCTGTGTGGATTCTTTGGTGTGTCACAAGGTTGGCACTCTGGTTGAAGCTCTTGCCACACTCCAAGCATTTAAATGGTTTCTCCTCTGTGTGAATTCTTTCATGTGTCTTAAGCTGGGAGCTCCAACTGAAGCTCCGTCCACACTCCAAACACTTAAATGGGTTTTCCCCCGTGTGATTTTTTTGGTGTGCCATCAGGTCTGAGCGCCGGCTGTAGCTTTTTCCACATTCCACACACTTAAATGGTTTCTCCCCGGTGTGACTTCTTTCATGTCTCATAAGGTGCGAGCTCTGTCTGAAGTGCTTTCCACACACCAAGCACTGAAATGGTTTCTCTCCTGTGTGTATTCTTTGGTGTGCCATCAGGTCTGAGCGCCGGCTGTAGGTCTTTCCACACTCCAAGCATTTAAATGGTTTCTCCCCCGCATGACTTCTTTGGTGTCTCATAAGGTGCGAGCTCTGTCTGAAGCTCTTTCCACACTCCAAGCACTGAAATGGTTTCTCCCCAGTGTGTATTCTTTGGTGTGCCATAAGGTTAGAGCTCCGATTGAAGCTACTTCCACACTCCAAACATTTAAAGGGTTTCTCCCCTGTGTGATTTTTTTGGTGTGAAATAAGATCTGAGCGCCGACTGCAGCTCTTTCCACACATGAAGCACTGAAATGGTTTCTCCCCTGTGTGAATTCTTTGGTGTGCCATAAGGTTTGCTATCTGATTGAAGCTTTTACCACACTCTGAACATTTAAATATTTTCTCCCTTGCGTGGCTTCTCTCACGAGAACTGAGGTATGTTCTAAGACTGAAAGCCTTTCTACAGCCACAGCATTTATATGGTTTCTCTCCTGTATAAGTCTGTTTATGAGGACTGGGGCCTGATTTAAAACTGAAAGTTTTCCCACACACAAGGCACTGACTCCTTTCCCTCACTTTGTGTAGTCTTTCTTCTGCTGGGTTTTCAGAGTTGTTGCCATCCTGAGAAATGCAAGTGTCGTTTCTCACTTTCTCTTTCACTTCGGCCTTTGCTCTCAGCTTTTCCTCGCGCTCATATCCAGCTTGTTCCTGTGATCCCTGGCTTGGTTCTCCTTGATCCTCATCGTCTAATCCATCCCTGCCTGGAAAGGAAGGAGACAACTGGTAAGGGCCCAAGGGAAGAGCAGCATGTGAAGCCAAAAATTTTGACACTGCTTAACGACAGCAATTCTATCAGGCTGCAACAGAGGGAGGAAAGAGGATGCAGCCTGGCTCTGAGTCTGCTATGGTGGTGGTGGTGGTCCACCACCACTTATATACTGCCTCCTAGCCCTCTGGGGTCTCTGAGAGGCTTACAAAATTTAAAAGTCATATAAAACAATAAATATGAAACAATGAACAAAGAATAGATAATAAAGAATAAAACCAATACAGTGTAAAATCAACAACCCACAGCCATTATAATAAAATTAATATATGGCATTAGAGCAATAAAACACAAATAAAATAAGTCTTATATATTAAAGTGTCTGGAAAATAAAAAGATTTTCACCTGGTGTTGAAAAGAGAACAAAGATGTGCCAAGTGCTCCTTCCTGGGACACATATCCCAAAGATGGGTGCGACTACCGAAAAGACCCTTCTTTTAGTCATCATCTCTCTAGCTTCCTTTTTTTTGGGGGGGGAGGGGGGTGTTCCCTGAGAAGGACCACAGCGGATGATCTTAGGGGCCAGGTAGGAACACACGGAGCAGGGGTTCCTTCAGAGAGCCTGGCCTCACGTCACTTAGGGTGTTAAATGTTAACACCAGCGCGTTGAATTGGGCCTGGACTGCAACTAGCAGACCATAAAGTTTAAAGATGACTGGCGTGATGGGATCACGTGAGCTAGTCAGTCCGCATTCGTCGCCACGCTGCCCTGTTGTTGTTGTTGCTGTTATTATTATTATTATTAACATTTCTATGCCGCCCCTTGCCAAAACCTTGGGGCGGCTTACAACACAATAAAATACATTGAAATACAATAGAACATAATAAATTACCATTAAATACAAAAATACAAAAAATACACTGAGTTATAAATATAAAATTAAAATTATCAGTATAAAATAAGTAAATAAAAATATAGGAGGAGAAAAGAGAAGGAAGAAGAAGTTGCCCTGGCCAGATCATATGCTTTAACAATTAAAATGATGTTTAAATAAAAAGGTCTTTATCTGGCGCCGAAAAACCAGTAACGACGGTGCCAGGCGGACCTCTTTGGGGAGTGAATTCCATAGGTTGGGCGCCACCACAGAGAAAGCCCTCCTCCGGGTACTTACTCTCCTAATTTCTTTCATGGAGGGTTCCCGGAGAAGGGACTCTCCCGCAGATCTCAAAGGGCGGTCGGGCATATACGGACGCAAGCGCTCGTTCATGTAGCCCGGACCCAAGCCGTTGAGGGCTTTATAGGTCATAATCAACACCTTGAATTGGGCCCGGGCTTCAATGGGCAGCCAGTGAAGCTGACGGAGGACTGGAGTCATGTGAGCATAACGCCCCGTCCCCGTCAGCAACCTGGCAGCTCTGTTTTGCACCAATTGAAGTATCCGGACCGTCTTCAAGGGAAGCCCCACGTAAAGCGCGTTACAGAAGTCTAGGCGGGAAGTCACCAGCGCGTGTGTCACCATCGCCAGGCGGTCGTACTCCAGGTAGGGGCGCAGCTGATTAATCAGCCGAAGCTGAAGGAAGGCGTTCCTCGCCACCGCTGTCACCTGAGAATCAGGTGCAATTTCTGGACCATTTCCAAAGGCAGCCCCACAGAGAGAGAGGTCACCTGCACCTGGATCACTGAGGCCAGACTCTGTCTGTCTAAATAGCTGTAGTTGGTAGATCAGCCAAAGCTGAGAAGGGTTGTCTTTGACAAACCAGCTCTCAACTGTTTCCAAGAAAGAGCAATTATGGAGGGATGGGGGAATAAAGCACTATTGCCTTACTTCATTTCCCCCTCCTTTCTCACCATCTTTTGTGTGCGGTTTATTTTAGATAGTAAGCCCTGTACATTGCGCAAATTGCTGCAGGATCTTTCTCAGTGGGACAGCAGTGTCAACATGCTTTTAACAAATAAGTATCTAAAGGAGCGCCTGCATCCATATGTGCCCTCCCGCCCCTTGAGATCGGTGGCAGAGGCCCTTCTCCGGGAGCCCTCCGTGAAAGATATTAGGAGGGCGAGTACCCGGAGGAGGGCCTTCTCTGTGGTGGCGCCCCACCTATGAAACGCGCTCCCCAGAGAGGTCCGCCTGGCGCCGTCGTTATTTGCTTTTCGGCACCAGGCCAAGAACTTTTTATTTAAACGTTATTTTAATTGTTGATTTTATTTATTGATTTTATATTTATGCCGGGATGTCTCCAGATTTTTATGTATTTGTATAGTTATTTGTATTGGAAGCCGCCCCAAGGCTTTTATGAATGGGGCGGCATATAAGTGTTCCAAATAAATAAGTAAGTAAGTACCTGAATTTATAAATGATGATGAAGGGCAATGAAAAGACGTGTTTTCAGATTATCTGAGAGCTGGTGTATTGCAGCCATGGGGTCAGGGTCTCAGCTACAAGCTATGCAGCTCATTGAGTCGCTGCCTCCAAATTAAGGTATTTATTTCTTAAATGGATACCACCATTCCTTTCCATGTGAAATTCTTTGCAACGTATGTACAGAACTGGGGATTCAGAAGCTGTGGTTCTAGTCCCCACTCAGCCATGGAGATATACTTTTTTAGAAATTTTTTTCACACTTTGCCTGAATGCTGTGGCCCTTTTTATATTGCTATTATTGTTTTAATTTGTTGTGTTGAAATTGCTTTTCATGTGTTTTACTTTGTTAATACGTTCTATGTATTGTAAACTGCCTAGGAAGGCCTCGGCAGTTATAGGTGGCCAATAAATAAATAAATGAATGAATGAATGAATGAATGAATGAATGACTTTGGGCCAGTCAGCCTAGCCTACCTCACAGGGCTGTTGTTGGGAGGATAAGATGGGAGAATGAATAATTTAAGCTGCCTCCATTTCTTGGAAGGAAAAAAGGCAGGCTAGAAATATGGCAAATAACGGAATGATCTGATGCATGCTGCTTTGATCCCCTTGATTTTGGGCAGGATACAATTCAGGGTCAGGAAACAAGGGGGGGGGAATTGACCCACAGGGCAGCAGCGTAGTTTTGCATCTCATGCCCGAAGAGGACAGGTTCAGTCCCAGGAATTCAGGAGCGCCTTTGCCCATGTACTCTGGCTGGGCCAGTCACATATTCTCAGCCAAACCTACCCCACAGGGCTGTTGTTATGAGGATGATTGAGACAATTGTGTAAGCTGCCTTGGGTTCCTTGGAAGGAAAAAGGCAGAGTATGAATATAATAAATGGATAGATAAAATAAAGAGGATTATCTGGGGATAATCATATAAAATTATCTTTTGTGAAATTAATGTCAACTACCCACAGGACTTTCTCAGTGGTGGCCCCTAAATTGTGGCATGGCCTGCTGGAAGAGATGGGTCTGGTATCCCAGACTGCCACCTTCAAGAGGGAGTAAAACACTTATCTCTCCCAACATGCCTTCCCAGATTAGTTTTATTTAATATGCTTGTTTTTAGTCAAAATTTTAATTATTGTGGGTTTTAATCTCTTGCAAGCCACCCAGAGCCTATGGGAATGGGGTGGTATATTAAATTCAAAATTTAAAAAATCAGTTTCAAGGATCGGAATAAAAGAACTGGGAATAATTTTCTATAAAAGTTTGATGTAGGAGATGTTGCCAGTCAGAGGAGAAATTCCTGGCAGAGATGGACCAATGCCAAATTCAAACAACAGGATTTTTGTACACCGGATCTTTTAACAGATGTTTCCCCTGGAAAAGAGTTTAATGAGCAACCCCAGTTTATGAGATAACATACCACATTTTGATGAATAGGGTCCAACTCAGTTTCCACTTGTTTTTATCAACACAAGCCTGATTTATCTGCACCTTCCCCTTCCAGCTATACTGAAACCTACCACATTTTCCTTATTGTATCCTTTGAAGGAAAACCTGCATCATCCCCCCATCAATCCCATAAACCTCTTTCCCAACTACAACCCCATCCCCCCCCCCAAAAAATCCCAACAGTCGGTGCATTTTGTCTGGTGATGGATGGAGTTTATGGCTTGTCCAGTTGGGTTTGAGAGACCGAAGGAACAGAGAGAGAAAGCCCATGTACAGAGGTCCCTCGACTCACGAACGCCTCAGTTCACGGACCAATCAGGTTGCAAACAGAAATTTCAGAAAAATTTTGCCTCGGGTTGTGAACTCCACATCAGAGTCTATGGCTGTGATCACACTTGCGCTTGTGCAGGGAAGATGGGCGCAATTGCGGTTGTGCTCGGGGGGGAGGAGATGGCCACGATCGTGCTGGGGGGGGGGGATGGCTGCGCTCTTTATTCTTTGTTACTTTGTTTCAAATTTTCGTGCTAAAAAACGGTTACAGAACAGATTAACCTTATTTAGATTGAACCTTATGGGAAAATTGGACTTGGCTCACGACCAATTTGGGCCGTGACCAGAGTCCTGGAACTGATTAAGTTTGTGAGCCGAGGTATCACTGTACTTTGTACATGGATGAGAAACATAAATACTACATGAGTTACTCAGAAGAAAATCCCACTGAGTTAAACAGGATTGGCTCCCAAGCCTTCAATGCCCATCTTCAGAATCCGTATGCCTGGGAATAATGGTTGCTTGAAGGCAACAAAAATGAGCTTTCCTGACCTGGGAACTGGAAACAAAGCCCCGTGAGGAGAGATTGAAAGAACTGGGCATGTTTAGCCCTGAGAAGAGAAGACTGAGGGGATTTGTAAGAACTTTGCAAGTCCTCGGCAGGCTGCCACAAAGAAGAAGGCCAGGATCTCGTCTCAATCATCCCAGGACACGGAATAACCGGCTCAAGTTACAGGAAGCCAGATTCCAGCTAGATACCAGAAAAATTCCTGACTCTTAGAACAAAACAGCAAAGGAAACCATGGCCCGGGGAGGTTGTGGGCTCTCCCACATGGGAAACCTCCAAGATCCGAGACTCATCTCAGAGGGATGGTTTAACTGGGAGTCCTGCACTAACCCAATGGCCCTCTGGCCCTTTCCAGCTCTACTCCTCTGTGGTCCTACACCCTGCATGTGGGTTTCCTGGAGAAGCCAAGTGCTGGACTCAAAGCACCTTTGGCCAATCCAGCAGGGCAGGTGCTTATGTTCTGAAATCTGCACATGGGATCGGAGCCCTGGAGCATCCAATTTCTTCTCCAACATCCCAACCTGGCACCCGCTGCTATGGCTTGGTCAAAGTCTACCAGTGAAAGGTTACTTCAGAAGAGGCTCCAACACAGGAAAGGGACCATGCGGCCTGCTGAAATGCAGCAAGAATGTCGAACAAGTTTATGGGGGAGGGGGGCAAAACCCCCAGAAATTATCTTCTAGAGTCTGGGGGCCCGGGCTTCCCCCGTTAGGCGAGTGTTCTAGGAACGCGTCCGCATCAGTGCACCCAGCTGTGTTGCGAGAGGCTACATTCGGCTTCAGTGAGGGGTTTTTTGGAGACTCTTCCAATGCATTTGCCTCTTTTGTGAAGGCCGATTTACACGAACCGTGAAATTTTGTTCAGCTGAGCGTTCAGCACCTTTGGACCAAAACCGGCAGGACCCTTGTGCCCCACCCTCCCTATTCACCTGATCTCGCTCCGTGCAACTTTTTTTTTTGTTTCCCCGGATGAAAACAGTCCTCAGAGAGAAATGTTTTGTGAAAGAGGTGAAACAATAAATGGCAGAAGCAACGGCAGAAGCGATAAAGGCATCAAAATCAACGAGTCTAAAACCTTAGCGGTGGAAAAAACTTTGCCGTTGATGTTTTGCATCAAACAGAGAGTACTTTGAAGGTGACAGAAGTCTGAACATGTAAAAAGAAATACTAAATTTTTAATAAGTAAATTCCTGATTTTTTGGATCCCCCCTTGTATAGTGATTTTTTTAGCATTTATCAAGCATGAGGAAGGAAAAGTCCTACCAAGAGAAGCCACGATCTTGGCCGAAGCCTCCATGACTTCTCTGTGCAGGGATCTTTGGTCTGGATCCAGCAGAGCCCATTCCGCATTTGTGAAATACACGGCCACCTCCTCAAAGTCCACCTGGAAGGAAAAACATCTGTGAGGAGAAAACTCTCACCCCAAACCCAAAGAAAGCCTAGGGAACGTGTAGCTGTCGTCTTACACCACTTACATCTTTGCATGGGGTAGCTGCGGCTTCTTTAGTGGCCACCTTTGACAAATACAGGCCTTGGATGGCTTCCTTTCGGGGTGGCCAAGCCTCCATCTTGTCTGGCTCAGCTAAAAAGCCTGGCTCAGCACAGAAGATGGACAAGGATGCCTCAGAACATCGGTGGACGAGACCCTGGCAAGGCCCGACCTCCAGGACCTCACAAGCTTATGTCGCAGCCTGTGGGAATCTGCCAGGCCTGCCTGCCCACAGTGTTGCCACTGGGCTTGTTCGGGAGAGAAGCTTTGGTGTTGCTTTTGCTAGAGCTGGGCTTTGAGGCTTACGGCACGAGCAGCAAAGAGAACCGTACCAGGGGCTTGATCGAACCCCAGCCTCGTTTGGACATCTTGTTCAAAATTGCAGGTTTTGCTTCCTGTCCATTCCAGCAGATGGGAGCCTCGTTAACTGATTACTGATTAAGCACATGCTTGCGTTGTACATTCTTCAATTACTTCCAAGGAAATCTCTTTGTAAGCAAAGCTAAACCAGGTGTATCGCTTCCCTGGGGATTCCAAAAAACCTTGAGCTTGCTGCAGGAGGCAGAAAGACAAAAGCAAGGGAAAGAGAGAGGTTTCCTCAGGCCAGGGGAAGTCCTACCTGGTCCCATCTCCCATAAGCTGCTCCAAGAGCATCACAAGGAAAAGGTGAGCCGGCACATGTTTCCTGCACACTCAGTTCATCTCCTGTGAGGTACACAAAAAATGCAAGGGAGGATTTCCTGTAACTTTTCTATTTCCGGTTCAAGTCAGAAAATATTTGTGAAAAGGAAGCCAAAACTAAATTACCCCTGCAAAAAAGGGAGGGATCAGCAGGGATTGAGTAAGCCAGAGGTTAGCAAGCATACAAAAAGGCAAAATGACAACATCACCCTCAAATAACTGAGTGAGGACTAGGTGGCTACACAACATTAACTGTCTGAGAAGGAAAAATGAAATCCAGGTAGGAAACAAGCTGAATTCTGGGGGGAGAAGGAGGAGGAGAAGTGGGAGGAAGGGAACTCACAGATATTAAAACGGGGCAGAGAAAAGCTTCTCGCTGTCTGGGTACTTCATTTCGTGGCTCATACAGAGAAACTAGATTTAATGACCCCATGACAGAACTGAAAAAAAAGGTGAAACCTTTAGTGATTAATATTTCCAGGAGTGGGTGTTGGCAACCCACCCCCAACACACACTTATACAAAATCCCCAAAATGGAGAAAAACAAAGTTCCACAGCCAAATAACGATCACAGGAATGTACATGGAGTGCTGACTTTGAGGAGGGAAAACAGGAAAAAGGGGTGAGTCAAGGAGAGGAAGTGGAATGAGTAAATGTTTTAATGCTGGCTTTAGTGTGTTTAACTGGGGTGTTTTGTATAATCTGAATACTTAATCGTTCTAATGTTATTTCCAACTGTGGTATATTTCTACGGATGTTTTAACTACATGAGCTTTTAAAGTTGTGAGTTGTCCTGAGTCATAATCACTAGGAATAGGCAGGATATAAATAAATAAGATGATTCCCCAGCCAGATTCGGTCTACCCAGAACTGAAGCTCAATCCAGACAAGACAGAGGTCCTGTTGGTAGGGGGGTCGGGCTTCGGGGTGGAGGACTTGGACCTTGTCCTGAATGGGGTTGCATTCCCTCTGAAGGACAAAGTCTGCAGCTTGGGAGTGCTCCTCGATCCAGAGCTATCTTTGGAAGCTCAAGTAACAGCAGTGGCGAGGAGCACTTTCTTTCAGCTTCGACTGATTCACCAGCTGTGTCCCTACCTGGAGAACGACTGCCTGGCAACAGTGACTCACGCATTGGTAACTTCCCGACTAGACTTCTGTAACGCGCTCTACGTGGGGCTGCCCTTGAAGAAGGTCCGGATACTTCAATTGGTGCAAAACAGAGCTGCCAGGTTGCTGATGGGGACTGGGCGTTGTGCTCACATAACCCCAGTCCTCTGTCAGCTTCACTGGCTTCCCATCGAAGTCCGGGCCCAATTCAAGGTGTTGGTTATCACCTATAAAGCCCTTAATGGCTTGGGACCTGGTTATCTAAAGGAGCGCTTGCATCCATATATGCCCTCCCGCCCCCTGAGATCGGCAGCAGAGGCCCTTCTCCGGGAGCCCTCCGTGAAAGATATTGGGAGGGTGAGTACCCGGAGGAGGGCCTTCTTTGCGGTGGCGCCCCACCTATGGAATGCGCTCCCCAGAGAGGTCCGCCTGGCGCCGTCGTTATTTGTTTTTCGGTGCCAGGCCAAGACCTTTTTATGTAAGTTATTTTAATTGTTAATTGATTATGCATTGGGTTTTATATGTGCCGAAATGTCTCCAAAAATTTTTAAGGTTAATTATTGTTGTGAATGGCATTTGTTTTGTAAGCCGCCCCGAGGCTTTTTGCGAATGGGGCGGCATAGAAATGTCATAAATAAATAAATAAACCCATGGACAGAGGATCCAGGCAGAGGCAGGAGCAGTTACAGATGGATTGTGGGGCTGCCCTGAAACCACACTGGAGATGTTCAAGAAGAAACTGGGCAGCCATCTGAGTGGGATAGTGGAACTTGGTGTCCTGCAACAGCAGGGGGTTGGCCTTGATGGCCTTCATGGCCCCTTCCAACTCCACTATTCTATGATTCAACCCACAGAAGCAGGCTTCACATTCATCTTTTATCTTCTTTACACCTTTGTGGTTTTGATATGTGGGGTGTGTGTATGTATGTATAACTCAACTTCTCCCTCCATATTTCTGCTAAACGCTGGTTTGGAGACATAACATTTTCTGTTAATTCTTAAAAGGCATCTTTGCTAGAGACAGCTCCCTCTTCTACATGGGCTCAGGTGGAACTTAAAATTAGCCCAGATTTAGTGGTTAAGAGCATGGGACTGGGGCTCAGGCGATCTGGGTTCGAGTCCCCACTCAGCCATGGAGCCAACTGGGTGACTCTGGGCCAGTCACGGACTCTCAGTCCAACCTACCTCACAGGGTTGTTGTTGTGGGGATAAGATGGAGGAGGAGATGTAATCTGCCTTGAGCCCCTTGTAGGAAAAAGGCAGGATATAAATAAATAAATAAAATGCAGATGGAAAAGGCTCTAAAAATGCTTACCTAGTGACATGGCCTTTCTATTAGTTTCCCGCATGATCCACCCAGACACTGGCCTCTGATGGATGCTGGATGCAGCCATCTCTGCCTCTGGGCTAACAGTGGCCTCTTTGGCAAACAGGTCCTGCAGTGGAAAGAGCAGCAAAGAATGGGAAAAGGGAACCACTGGAAAAGGCACTGCATAGGCAAGACCAGTTGGAGGTTGTGATATCCCCTCATTCCATAATTTACAGAATAATTGTTGATATCCCTGGAAATACCACCAGTCTCCTGACATCATCAAGACGAAAAGCTCTCACCTGCTGCCCTTCCTGCTTCTTGTCCTCTGCCTGGCTCAGGAGGAAACCTTCAGCCAGGGCCACCGCCTGGAAACTCGTCTCCGGCCCACACTCTCTGACCCAGTTCTCCATCTCCGAGGGAAGGACAGCCAGGAACTGCTCCAGGATCACCAGGTCCAGCATCTGAGCTTTCGTGTGTCGCTCCGGCTTCAGCCACTGACGGCAGAGTTTGTGGAGGCGGCTGCAAACCTCTCGAGGCCCCTCGGCCTCCTGGTAGCACAACTGCCGGAAGTGCCGGTGTTGCACATCAGGGCTGGGGCTGCCCTCGTGCTGCTGCCTCTGCACCGCGCTTTCCACGAATTCCCCAGTGCTCCCCACTTGAATATGATGGGAGCGCTTTCCTACTTCCACGCCAGCGAAATCCTGCTCTTCCATTTTTGTGTTGTTCCTGCCACGCTCTCCTCTTTGGCCAGTTTCTGCCTTAAGGCAGAGATGCCCCCATCTAGGGAACAGTCCAAGTCCTGCAAAGCCGAGAGGATGCTCTGTGAACAAACTATTATGGACATTCGTGAAGCAGAGAGGAAATTTAAAACTATTTCCAGCTGGCCGCTGGCTCCGTTCCCTTCATAAAAGCCAAAGCTCTTCCCTCAGAGAAAGACTAGAGATAAGAGGGTGGGGAAAATGCTTTCCTTGTTGGCCCGAGCCCAAGGCCTTCCTACAACACTGCAGCGCACAAGGCAGGATTGCACTGCAATGCAGTACAATGACAAAACAGCACAAACCATTCAATTCGATTCTAGTAATCACGCAATTCCGTATGATCCACCCATCCAGTTGTTTAATCCGAGCAGAATGCAAGTGCCATGTCGTTGCATGACAACCGCAGTTCTGCAGCGCAACACACTGTTCAACACGCTATTCGTACAATGCACTATCTTGTCTGTCCCAAAAAATCCCTTGAGTTTTTCCTTTCTTTGCACATCCTCCCATTTCCCCCCTTTCTGGCGAGTCTATTTAGGAAAAGACTAAATTGCTTCTTAAACTTCGGGGTATTCCTAAAACACTTTAAGTATGCAATAAATGGCACCGACCCTAAATCTGGAATGGATCAGGAGAGAAGCAATGTTTCCGAGTGGTTAGGGATGCAAAAGACTGGGGGAACTTGGGTTTAAATCCCCATTCAGCCATGGGGTTTGGAGGGCAACTATAAGAGGGAAGGAAAGATGGACAGCAGGGGGACACAGCAGGGATTGTGGGTTGCATTCACCTCAGCAGAACAGGAGACTAGAACGGGATAGAAATAGAGATGGAAGGGGTCTAAAAGGCCATCCAGTCCACCCCCCTGGACCCACGTTCATATGTGGTCACCCATCCAGCTGCAGGGCACTGCCTTTCCAGCTTTGCAAAGGAGACTTGACGTGTTAACTGGGTGTACAGCTATGCAGAATGAGGTAAGTGATTTAGGATGGGAAATGCTAAGAGAAACGAGGAAGCAGTTAAGCCAGTTCTCTGCACGTTCAATTCTATGCATGCTCAGACAGCAGCTCCTACGAAAGTCTGGATGGAGTGACCTCTAGGTCTGAATTCCTATGGGGGCACCCCCGGACACCACATTATACCCATCCTGGCCTAATTCACGGGATTATTATGAAGATAAAACAGATGGGGGGCGCATCACCACATGTTAGACCAAAGTCCTTGCATCAAGGAAAGGACTTGGCTCTAATCTAATCTAATCCAATCCAAGAAACACCTGCAGGGGTCAAGGCCACATGCGCTGAAGGTGGGAAACTCGGTGCATGGGGGTCTTTGGGGGCTCACTTGTTTTTCTCAGCCCCTCCACACCTCACTCCCTAGAGGCCTCGCTGGCTTTCCTGCCCTATCACTGCCTGGGCTTAGGGACGTAGCAAACGTTACTTTAAATGCGTGTCCAGCATGTGTGTGTTTTGCTCATTTTCCACTCCAAAGGTGAAGACCTTTAGCGTGGAGGGCAGGAGGGGAGCCGGGGGGGGGGCGTGGGGTAGGATCTGCATCGTGCCTACTCTGGAGTAAAAACGAAGCGGAGGACTCGCTCCCGCTCCTCGCTTGGCCGCCCGCCCGCCCCGGGGTTCCCCCCCCCTCGCTCCTCCCGGCTTAAATTCCCGCTCAGCCCCCGCCCCTTCACTTGCAGCTCGCTGGAGCTCCTGCACCGCGATGCACCGGGGGGACTCACCGGATCCCCGGCGGGGGGGGGGGGGGGGCGAGCTGCCTCCCCACGGAAAGCAGGTCCAGCCCCTTCTCCGGCAGGCTCCGGGCTCCTCCCGCGGCCGCCCTGCGCTGCCCCCGGCAGGATGGGGCGGCGCTGCGGCTGCGAGGCGCCCTCCCCCTCCAGGAAGCGGGCGCCGCGCCTTTAACCCTTCCCAGGCCCCGCTGCAGGGGCCCCGCGCCAGGCCAGCCGCGCACCTGCCCGCGCACCTGGCGCGCTGCGCCCCTGCGGCGCAAGGGGGCCCTCCCGGGGCGCGGAGTGCGGGAGCCTTGCCGCGGGCCCCCGCGCATGCAGGTACCCCCAAGCAGCCCTCCCCCTGGGCTCCGGGGCGCTCCCCCTGCACCGGATCCCAGCCGAGGAAACAGAAGGGAGAGGCGAGGCAGCGCTCGGGCACGCCGCATTCCCCTGGAGATACTGGATCAAAAACGATCCGGTTGATTTTTTTTTTTAAATGGGCCGTGCACTTCACTGGGCTTAGCATTTAGCTGACAGGTGCAACAAGCTCTATTCATTCCCGCATAGAGAGAGAGAGGGAGGGAAATTTAGCTTTCTTAGTCCTCTAAATATTTTTAAAATGACATTTCTACCATTTCTTATTTATCGCTCCCATGGACTGGTGGCCTGTTATCCGAGTCTTCTAGGCATCATTCGCACTGAATTAAAAAAAAAATAAAAACCGAAAAGCACAATGCAAACGATATGTAAGCTCATCAAGCAATACAATTTATACACAGAGGATGTAAACACATACAGGGAGCTGTAAGACACATAGTGTTTGTTTTTTGAATCCTGCAATATCAAAAGAATATTGATGTTGAACCTAACATAATAATCCTAAATGTTGACTGTGTGCAACTGATGGTTAAAAATCTTGAAATATGTAACGAAGAAATTAAAAGGCTCGGCGGAACAAAAAGCGCTTTGCCCAATACCGAATAAATTTTACAATAGGTGCCTGGCATGTTTTTGGCAATACTTCTCCCAGTTGGGAGGGTCTTACACTGCCATCTTTCATAGCAGAGATGGAGATGGCATTGGGAGGAGGTCTTTGGAGTGCCTTCACTCTGAGGGTCACCCTAAGTTGGAGATGACTTGATGGCATATATCACTGCAAAAAGAAACCCAAGATAGATGTGATCTTTATGGTGTTATGTAGCATGGTGGATGCCACTTGTATTTTTGTTTAAAAAAAAAAAAAGTTCACCTTGCCTAGAAGCCTGCATGTGTGGTGTTTCCAGGAAATAAAAATGCTCCAAAGCCTTCTGAAGGTTGCCCACTCTTGCTCTAAACATCTTTTTTCCCCATGGAATTTGTTTTATTTTGTTAAGAGAATATAACGTACAAGATAAGACCAATGCAAACAAGAAATGTTGTTATAAGCCTGTCCCACAAACGATGCGTCGGAGTAGTGTGAAAATCATCCAGCCTGATTTTGGATCAAATTTCTCCTCCAATGGGAGGGTTTTTTTGGTCTGTGCTGCTGCCATTTCTTGTTAAGAGAAGCACTAAATCCATCCTCTGGATAACCTTATTTGGGTAACCTTAGAGAAGATTTCTGCAAATGCTAAGCCCCATGACCTTCCTGGGGAAAAATAACTATAAATATTGCATTGCATTTATACCCCACCTTGCTTTCTCTTTCAAGGAATTCAAGGTGGCTTACTAGGTTTGCTTTCTCCCCTTTTTATCTTCACAACAACCCTGTGAGGTAGGTTAGGTCCCAGTAACCCAGATTCTACCTCCTTCCTAGTGCCACTCCAGCAGTGTCCCACTGCACCACAAGGAACTGTGTTGCAGAATCTGCCACAAAATGATTAAGGTTGATTTGTGGATTTTCGGCATTAGTGAAGCATAGGATTATTTTCTACTGGCAGAGGACTACTCCGTATCTGCCAGGATTCATCTGAGGCCTTTTCCTCAAATGGCTGTAGACCCATAGAAGGGTAGGGAGTAGAAACATAGAAATACAGCGAGTCAGAAGGGGCCGACCAGGCCTTCTAGTTTGACCCCCGGCTCCAGCCGGTTCCACTCATGACATGCCCACCATGCGGTTGTCCAATCTTTCCTTGAACATCCTCACTGATGGGGCCTCTACCACCCTCCTGGAAGCCCATTCCATCTCCTAGGAGACCCAAACATCAGGAAGTACTTCCTGACATCCACCCGGAAGCCCAGTTCCTTGAGGTTTGCCCCACTGGGACATGTCCTGCCCTCCACTGCAAGGAAGAACAAGTCACGGCCCTCCTCCACATGACATCCTGTATGAGTAGATGCACTGAGGATTTTTAAATTTATGTTTCTGTGCAGCTTGAAACTATTGCCTTAGGGTACGATCTGAAGGCCACGAGATGTTGTCTAGACCTCCACAGGAGAGGTGGCAGGTTCTGGTTCTGCTGGCTGTCTAGCCAAACACGAGAGAAGGTCCCTCTGCTCTCACAGCCAGAAGACGGACCTTGGAGCCAGTGACGGAGAGGGAGCGGGAGGTGGCAGGAGAGGGAGGAACACTCTGCCAGGATACACCATAGCTTGCTTCTCCTCCTCACAAGTGGGGTCAAATGACTTAGCCAACACTGGGACTTCTCATCTGGCTCTCTCCTCCAACTTAAACCGAGTTCCTGGTGGGTTCCAGAAGCAGACCGAGAGAGACAGAGAGAGAATGGTCTTCAGCACCTCCACCTTGAGTAGCATATTAAAGGTTACTTGGGCGTGGATTTTTGCTTCGTGTTTGACACTGAAATCAAAGGCCTCATTAGTCACGTATGAATTTCAGGAGCATGTTTGTGAATGCCATTATCTTCTCTTCCGATAGGCCATTGCAGTTAGTCTGTCATCATTATAATTATCGCCATCATTACATTTCTATACTGCCCATACCTAAAGCTCTCTGGGCAGCTGATCTCAATCATCCTAGAATCATACACTCAGGTCACCCATCCAGATCCTAACCAGGCTGGATCCTGCTTAGCCTCCAAGATTAGACAGGATCAAGCACTTCAGGCCACATGGAAGCTGCCTTTGTTGGTAAGAGGCTTGGATAATCGGTATGCTTTGCCTTTGGGTCATTGCCCAATAGGTTAGAAGCAGCAGATTGGCCTTGGGGTCCAACATTATTATTATTACTACTACTACTACTACATTGCATTTATATCCCACCATTCTTCCTCTTGCAAGGACTCCAAGGTGGCTTGGATTATGAATCTTTTCTATTTGAGGCAGTGGCTTCCTATGGATTGTCTTCCTGGTTTATCATTTCAGAAGTGGATTCCCAGTATTATGATAATGGTATTGCAAGGATTACCGGGCGAGGAGCGATGGGCCTAAGCCGCCATTCTCGGTGGAGGACATGATCCCTGCCTGCTGTGTGACATTTTTTTTGGTGCAAAATAAGGAAACCATTCCTCCTATAGCTTTTTCCACACTCAGAGCATTTAAATGCATCCTCCTTGGTGTGAATTCTTTGGTGTGCAGCAAGTTTTGAACTCTGACTGAAGCTTCTTCCACACTCCAAGCATTTGAAAGGTTTTTCCCCTGTGTGAATTCTTTGGTGTGAAATAAGGCATGAGTTCCAACTAAAGCTCTTTCCACAGTCCAAGCATTTAAAGGGTTTCTCCCCTGTGTGCATTCTTTGGTGTGAAATAAGGTATGAGTTCCAACTAAAGCTCTTTCCACAGTCCAAGCATTTAAACGGTTTCTTCCTTGTGTGATTTTTTTGGTGTGAAATAAGTTGTGAGCTCTGATGGAAGCTCCTTCCACACTCTGAGCAATGGAATGGTTTCTCCTCTGTGTGAATTCTTTGGTGTGACATAAGGCTTGCACTATGACTGAAGCTTCTTCCACACTCCTGGCATTTAAAGGGTTTCTCCCTGGTGTGGATTCTTTGGTGTGTCTTAAGGTGTGAGCTCCAACTGAAGTTCTTTCCACACTCCAAGCATTTAAATGGGTTCTTTCCAGTGTGAATTCTTTGATGGGAAATGAAGTACTTCCTCTGTGCGAATGTTTTTCCACACTCACAGCATTTGAAAGATTTCTCCACTGTGGGCATTCCCACATTAAGAACATAATCTGATTTACAATTCAGGTCATGCCCAAATAGAAGGCAGTTGCTTTTCTCCTTGTCGCTGTATATTGAAATTCCTTGAATTGGGATTTCAATGGGCTCATCAGCCTGGGAAGTAGAGACTTCATTCCCCCTTTTCTCTTTTGCTTCGGTTCTTGTCTTGCATTCTTCACCCCTGGTCGCTTTCAGCGATGTCGCACATGTTTCTCCTTCTTTCTCCCAGTCACACCCAGTGCCTCCTAGAAAGGAGACAAAAAATCAGAAGAGGCTGAAGCAAGATGCACCACTCTTAGTTCACTGCTGATTCCACGATTCTGTAGGGGAAGGCAAGACAAGACTCACAGCATCAAACCCCTCCTCTCAGTTATTTCTATAAAAGATTACAGAAATCTTGTCATGAACTGGTCCTTTCCCTCCTTCCTTCTGGTTCCAAAACCTCCAGACAATCTCTGAAATAAAGTTATTTGGTTGAAAAACCACAATGTTGGGTGCAAAGCATGGATGGAAGCCTTCAAATGGTGGCTAGGTTTACATTTCCTGGAAGCTCCTGGTACCTGCCTGTCTTTACTGCTTTATATATTATTAACTGATGGTTGAGAGAAATGGACAAGAAGCTACATCGGTTAGGTTTCTCCACAGAGCAACTCTGGGCTGGAAATGTTGCCCCAGTTTCTTGTTTTCAAAGATTAATAGACTTGGATCTTCAATATTTGAGAACAGCTGCTAGTAAACTTGTACCTCACTTAATTGGTTTAATGTGCTTCCATCAGCACTATGAAAAGGACATTTTAACAAGACCCCAGTCAATGACGGAGTATGTTCCCACAGTGCCGGAGTGGAAGAAACAGTGGGACATGTTCTCTTGTGCTGCAGCTTTTACAGGGAAAGCCGAGAGAAATTGATTAAACCATTAATAAAAGATTTTTTTATAGGAATGTTTCTTCCATTCTTCCAAGTATCTGCATGCTTAAGGGATGTATCCTCTTAGGTTACTGGAAACATTGCCAAATATTTAATGTCTGCAATGCAGATTAGGAAAAATGTGGTCACCTGTTTAAGTAAATATTAAATATTGCATAAATTGTACTTGTTTTAATTATGTTTTAATTTTTCTACTGTTATTTTATTTGTTTTTAAAATCTTCCTGGTCTGTGACTGAAATAAAAATGTATGTGTGTATGAAAAATCATAGTGGACAGAACAGTTTAACTCTAAATAGCCTTTTACCAAAGTTGGAAAGAGAAGCCTTCAGTTCATGCAAAGAATCATAGAAAAGTAGAGTTGGAAGGGGCCATGAAGGCCATCAGGGCCAACCCCCTGCTGTTGCAGGACACCAAGTCACACCCAGATGGCTGTCCAGTTTCACCTAGAATGTCTCTAGTGTGGGAGAGCCCACAACCTCTCTAGGCAGCTGATTCCACTGCTGTATTGCCCTGACAGTGAGGGAGCTTTTCCTGATGTCCAGCCTGAATCTGGGTTGTCGCAACTTGAACGGATTATTCAGTGTCCTACACTCTGGCATCAGCAAGAAGAGATCTTGACCTTTCTCTTTTTGACAGCCTTTGAGGTACTTATAAAGGGATATCCTCCCCCCACCCCCAGCTGTCTCTTCTCAAGGATGAATATGCCCAGTTCTTTCCATCCCTCCTCACAGGGCAGTGTTTCCAAACCCTGGATCATTTTTGTTGCCCTCCTCTGGACCCTTCCTAATTTGTATGCATCTTTCTTAAATCTTGGTGCCCAGAACTGGACAGTATTCCAGATGAGGTCTGACTAGTGAGGAGTATAGAGGAACTACTACTTCTCATGATTTGAGTGTAATACTTGTATTAATGCATCCCAAAATAGCATTTACTCCTTTGGCAGCTGCATTGCATTGTTGGCTCTTATTTAGCCTGTTGTCCACAGTAACTCCAGGAGTTTAATTCGACCTGGAAACTTCCTTGCGGTCTCTCCTTTCTCATAAAGCTTCTGGCTTAGGGGGACTCTCACTTTTAAAGAGCAAGAAAGGAGCAATGGCTCCCCTCCAGCCAAGCAGGTCGTCTCTCTGGAGACCCCCTTACCGGGTCAAGGACTGAGTCCTCCATCTGCTCCCTCTTCCCTCCTGCAAACCTTTCTGTCTCTTCAAAAATAGATTGTCCCTCAGTGTGAGAAACCTCACTAGGCAACCTTGAAGGGATCTGCCTCTGCTTGATACTCCCCCACCCCCAACTTCAGAACCTGACAGTGACTCCTGCTGAGCAGCCTGAAATGAGACTGGCCCACCCTCTACAGATTGCAACCTTAAGCAGTTGTACTAACTCTGCTCTTCTATGGGTCTAAGATGGTTTTTTCTCCTCTGCCCTCACCTTTGCACCTTCCTCTTGTGTTGTGTCTGTTTAAGAATTGTCTTGCCACTTTCTGCCACTTTTAGCTGGTGAGCAGGATCAGAAAACTTTGCATGCATGAATGAACGAAGAAATGAATGAAGAACTGAGTTTGTACTGATCGAACTATGATGGTCTGCATTCTGTGGGATCTTATGTTTTGTAGAGTGCAGTCTTGCAACCGGAAAGATCGCTCTTCAGGTCTCACAGAATAAGGCTCCCACTGGGACCTTAAGAACAGAGGAAAAGGCCGATGGTCCATCTAGTCCACAGCAAAGGGAAAAGCTTACTCAGAGAGGCCAGGATGCCACAGATCTCCTCGGTGACTTCTCTGTACAGGGCTCTTTGGTCCAGATCCAGGAGAGCCCATTCCTCCTTGGTGAAACAGACAGCCAACTCCTGGAAGGTGACCTAGAAGAAGATACACTACCTGTAAACATAACATTCTGATGACAATCAGTAAGGAGACCACAGCAGCTTACAGCTGCCTTCATTTTAAAAACGTGTATAGGCAGTCCCTGGCTTATGAACAAATTCTGTCCCTGAGAAAACAGAGATTTGTATTTAAGTTGAATTTGTATGTAAGTTGGATCGTGGCTCTCTGCATTTGGGGGGGTTAGGGGTGCAGGAATCCCACGAAAGTGGAAAAACTGCAAATATCTCAACCCCTGCTTCTCTGCCCAATATCACCAGTGCCTCTTCTTTGAAGCAAGGAAATGCTGCAGAGATTTCCCTCTCCAGATAGGCAGGGCAGGAAGGCATGCTTTGGAGACCTCCCTCTCTCTCCTTTAGCCTCCCCATTCTCTCCATGGCGATGCTCTGGAGGCCTCCCTCCTCAGCTTCCACCTCTTCTCTCTATGGTGATGCTCTGGAGGCCTCTCTCCCTCCCTCCCTCCCTCCCTCTCTCTCTCTCTCTCTCTCTCTCTCTCTCTC